AAAATATCTAAAAAAAACTAAATGTTATGGAATAAAATATTGTAAAGAAGGTAATTCAGAAATAACATTTTATGTAGATGCTGATTGGGCCTCTAACTCTATAGATAGGAGATCATATACTGGAATGTGTTTTTTGTTATCTGGTGGTGTAATATCATAGGAATGTAGAAAACAGAAACATGTAGCACTGAATCAGAGTATATTGGTCTATCTGAAGCATGTAGAGAAGAATTGTATTTAAAGGAATTACAATATGAAATAACTAATAAGATGTACACAATGCACAGAAGGTGCACAGAAGCTGTGTGTAAACCCAGTCTTTCACAAACGTACAAAGCATATTGATATCAAATATCATTTTTGTCGTGATCTAGTAAAAAATAAAATTGTTAAAGTACTGTATTTGCCAACAGCTGATATGCCGGCTGAGATTCTAACTAAAAGTTTATGTTCAGCTAAACATTATAAATTTATGTTGCTTCTTGTTTGTATTGTGATAATTTTGTACAAAAATTGTTTGGTGAATATTGCGATAAGTGGGGTTGTTATTCTGTGTCAATTTTGTATCGACAATATCACAGATTGTAAACTAGTAGCGCCCTCTGATATGTCATGACACTCCTTTCTGTGCATCTCTCAGCAAGCCTCATCTGAAAGCTAAAAGCTGCTACAAGTAATAGATCTGGACTACTTGATATCTGAGTGTGATGGACTTGTATTTTGCAGCGACATTGAGACGATTTAAAAAATTACCCTTTAGGACTGGGGACATCTTATGAAGCAGACTAACCTAATTGTTTTATACCGGTATCAGGTTATGCAAAAAGGCTCTTCGAAAGCGAGAAATTTGCTAGTTAAAAACCTAATAATACTATCATAGGAACAAGATTACCAACTCACCAGAGCTGTTATTCCTAGTCGCTACCCAGTAGCCCAAGGTGATTTATTTTGTACCCCACTGCTACATGACGATTCTTATAGTTTTTTTCCTATCACCTACTCTATTCTGTTTATCTAACCGTATTACTGTACTCTGTGTGTTTATTGCATTTAAGCGTCAGTCAATAAAAACGTGTTGGATAGGAGGAGAGACCTACCTACATGCAGTTTGGCGGTACTGGGCGATACATTATAACTCTCCAATAATATCACTGTCTTTCATAATCACCATTCGTTGTTCCAACATGCCCAAAGTAAAAGTAAAGTATCGCCTCTCAAAAGTTCTTTACTAAGTTAATTTTATTAATTACTTATATTATATCAAAAGTCAAAAAATTCAAGAGCAGTGTTGCCAATAGTTAAATTAACTCTCCGCCAGGTTCAACATCCAAAACCACCTGAAAACGACCAACGAAAAACTACTCTAATAGTCGCTATAATAAGTTTATGTTTTTCAATTTGTTTAAATTATTATTACGTAATAGTAATAATAAATAAATAAACATAAAAATGTACAAATAGTAAAACAACAATACAAAAATTCTTCAGTGACAGCAGTTATATATTTTAAATTAATTCGTCTTCTTCAGATGAATTATTTTTGTCTACACTATCATAGTTGGTTTGAGATTGATACGATTTGTTTTAGAACGCTTATTAAAATTTCAAATTCGTTGTAACATTTTCCTTTCAACCTCAAACCAGAGCATATTGTTAACATAGCAGATAAAATAAAAATATGATTTATACGATTTTACAATACAAATATTTGATTGTCGGTTTTCTTCTACCCGCCTCTTGAACCACTCTTGAAAACCTCATTAAAATCCGTTGCGTAGATCAAAAGATCTAAGCGTACAAGAAAAAAAGCAACTTTGTTTTTAACCGACTTAAAAAAGCGGAGGTTATGGCATTCTCTAACCATATTGTCTGAATGCATGGATAAAGCTATAATATGTTATGAATGTGATACACAACTGATGACTGTAAAATGAGGTACAGACTTTTTGAGGATACAGAAATACTGATACTCTCCCATAATTAATTTGTTCACGTCTAAACGTCCAGAATTACCGGGTTTTCAAACTGTCTGCTGAAATTTACAGCATAGGATATTGGTAGAACATTGTTTTAATGTCCAAAGCACCTACTGTATTTCGAGACACGTTTTTCCTTACATCCACGGATGTACCTTTAACTATTATAAGTATACTTATAATAGTTGAAAGTATACGGCATATCCAATGTGTTTTAAAACGAACATAGTGAAATATGAAATTACATTTGTAATAAACCCAGTACATTTGCAATAAAACCCAGTTTTTTTTATGATTATTAGACAATTATTGCTTCATGATAGATGTAAAATTAATTTGGGGAAAATTGTATGCACATTCATTCTATCTGTTCTGACTAGTTTGTTTTCTGTGATGTGATTCAATTCATTATATTGTCTGTGCCTTGTGGATTCATTCCACAGAGTACAGTAATACTATAAGAGATTAATTCATACAAATATTTCATAAATATGTTAATAGATTATGTGCAATGTTTACTCAAATAGATTATTGTTTGCTTTGCCCAGTTTTCGCGTATCTATATAGTCTAACATAGTCAAAAATGATCATGGAGTATAGAAAGCGCATTGTTCTTGTTCGCAAGAATGATAGTAGAAATATCCCTAATACCCTTTCTTTTGGGAGGACTTGCGAGAAAAGTTGTGTGTCCGTATTGAAGGCGGAATAATAAAATTGAAAAACAAGGTATTAACAACGGTACATAATTATGGTTGCGAAGATCGTTTGGAGGTAACTTATTTATATATTATAGAAACTCTTTATAGTTATCATTTATTTAATATTTATTGCACAGATAGAATTTCCTCTATTAGACTGGCATATTATATTGTGGGGTACGTCGCTACCTTTGTCTGAATAGAAGCGAAGATGTGTCCGAATAAGAACGGTACTCTTAAATTGAAAATTTGGGAAAAATACCTTTGACATTTCATAATTTGTTACCTTTCAAATAGAATGGAATATATTTTATTTGCATTGATTGTAGGTACATGAAATAGCGATGTTAACAAGTTTTCTGACACCTATAAAATCTACTGTTACTAGGCATGTGAACAATAAAAATGCATCAAAATTTGAACAACAAAATTTGAAATAAGAAAAAATCATTTGAGAATGATTACAATTTATAAAAATAATATAGACACAATGGTCGATAGAATTATTTATGCAATATTAATTGAAATTAGAAAAATAAACTAAAGGTCAAATGAGCATAAGTAATGTCAAAAACTAAGTATCTAAAGTAATATCAAAAAGTCTATCAAATTAAGTCATTAATTAAAAAATACCACTTATTTAAAAAAAGTGTAATCAATTGTAACATCGGGCATTTTGTTATAAATGACAGACACATTAATGCAGTATTGTAGTCACTTTCCATAAGGTGACCCTGCTCGTTTGCCCCTTCTTCCAAAAAACAAACATTATTAAAACCATTAACTTGACATATTTTCATACTGACTTCTAATCGGTCCTTCAAGGTCTATTCTATATACATTCTATAATATTTGATTTCCTATAAATCCTTTACTGCTCACTCCTGGGCTTTGAAGCTATACATTAAAAAACAATTCTAACATCTGACCGACAAATCTATTTGAACAAATTCTATAATTAGTTGTTGGATTAATTGTATGCCATGGTCATAAGTTGTGTGATGAGTATTTTATTTTTTATTTAATATATGACAATAGACATTTGGACAATATCGCACCTCTAAAGTAAAACCGCTACTAAAAGAAGTTATGACATTTTATAGGAGAGCCAATATTTGAAAAAGTCACTGTTTTTTCTCAATAAAGTCTGAGTTAAGGATTCTTTAAGACCTTTCATGAGATTATATGATAGATCTCTATTTACATTATAACATGTGATTTAAAAATGTATTTTTTTTTATTTACAGCATAATTTGTTTTGATTTATATTATTATAGTAACACTTTACTAATAATTTTATTTGATATATTATTATGAAATTACAGTGCAACTAATGTTACTAAATAGAAAGCCATTGATATTTCAAAATTCAATAATATTATTATGCATTTAAAAAAAAAATTATAAAGTTGGCATTACTGTGGTGTTATAATATTACTAATACATAAAAAAACTCGAAATTATAATGTTTTATTACAAAATAAAGAGAGATCCATACAATCATTTGGAATAGTTATTTGATAAATAACTCATCAGTCTTAAGAAATTGGTACCTTTAAATCACAGCATGTATGTATCTTACTATCTTAACTATTAATTATCATATAACATTTAAAAATAGTATCATCATCATCATCAACAGCCTATAATAGTCCACTGCTGGACATAGGCCTCTCCTTAGAAAAATAGTATGACTAATAACAAACCAACCGGAAAATATAAAATTATAAAAAATTAAACATATTAACAATCACAGCATCATTTTCCTATCCATGAAAGCTACTCTGGGCTAACTAAAGTTATGTTGACTTGTATCACATAATTAGAATAATAAGGCAAACCTTTTGACATATAAAATTTTATTAAAAATAAACAAAATCTCTTAAAAAAACCTAAAAAGAATGTCATCCTGATAAATTTGTTTTTCTAAATCAATAATCATCACTATAATAATATTATATAGCAATGTTAAAATAAGATGTTATTGTAATAAGGCAATGCGTAACTCTGTGGTGTTATATTACAGGCAGTCCTCGTACTTAGGGCATGTTAGGTTCTCGAAATACGCGACGTAAGTCGAGACATATTTTTTCGCATGTTTACATGTAAAACTCAAGGGTTAGGATCCACACGGACTCAAAAAAAAAAAAAACTGCATTTATAAGAAAGGATATACACACTTTATTATCAAAAGTAAGTTCTTAAAATAATTATACATGCACTTATGAAATTGCTAGTTATTTTTGGTATTTGTGTGTTATTAATTTTAATAATAATTATAAAACTTTAATATGTAATCAAAATATGTAATAAGAAATAAAATAAATTAAACTTTTGACTTAAAGAAACTATCAATTCTAGATTGCTTCACTTCTTTCTTCTTGCTATCATACAGATCTTGGTAACACTGATAGGCTGCACAAATTTTGTTATTAACGTTGAAACTTCTCTCAAAATTAGGATCATTTTCTTCAAAAATTTTCATGGCATTCTCCAAATTTGCAAAGGCTACGGAAAGTTTTTTTAGTGTAAGTTCTTTTTCAGAGTTACTAATAAAAGAAGCTATTTCTTGTGACTCGATTGCTTCCTTTTGTACTTGTGCCTCCAATTCAATAAGATCTTCATTGGTCAGTTCTTGCGAATATGAGCATAACAAATCATCAATATCATCAGCAGTAACTGCAATGTCAGGCAAACGGTTAGCGAAATGAACAATGTCAGTTGTGATCTCATTGATATTCGGTTGATCTGTAGATGAAGAACTTTCAGATGGCTTAAAAAAAAATGGGCATAACTTTTTCCAGACTCCTTTTAAATTGTTGGGTGTCTCCTCATCCCATGAAGCAGCAATATTTTTTCTTCTTCTCCGTCGTCACACTCTTGTCAGAGTGGTCGTGGTCGTCATGACCGGAGCGGTGGCAAGCTTCACAATTTGTCGCCATTCCTCTCGTACCGTTGCTTGCCTCGTGCATTCGTGGAGTGGACCATTTAGAGCGGTTTTGATTTGGTCTGTCCAGCGCATTGGTGCTCTACCGCGCGCCCTCGTGCCCTCTATTTTGCCCTGAACCACGAGTCGCTCCACAGACTTGTCTTCCCGACGCATAATATGACCAAAGAAAGTGAGAATACGACCTTGAACGATGGAAGAAAGACGTTGTTTTATACCCAGTTCTTCGAGGATTGAGACATTGGTTCGGAACTCTGTCCAGGCTATACGAAGCATTCGTCTCCAACACCACATTTCTAAAGCGTCGATCTTCTTTTTCTCACTCTCTTTTAGAGTCCACGTTTCGGCACCATAAAGAAATATGGGAAACACTAGTGCCCTGACAAGTCGCATTTTAGTGGCCTTTGTTATGTCTCTGTTTCTCCATATCTTCCCAAGCCGATCCATGGCAGACCTGGTGATAGCCATGCGCCGTTTGATCTCGTCCGCGCATCCGCCATTATTCGATATCAGTGCTCCAAGGTAGATGTATGACTGAATGACGTCGCAATTCGCAATTTTTGTTACTTCGGGCGAGTTATTGTTGAGTCGATCCACAATCATAATCTTCGTCTTGCTGCGATTTATCTTCAAGCCGAAATCAAGGCTCACTTGTTCCATTTTGGTTAGCAGGGATTCCATGTTGCCGATGCTTGTTGCAAACAGAGTAGTGTCATCTGCGTAACGCAAATTGGAGATTTTATAGCCTCCAATAGTGATTCCGTCTGACCAGTTCTCGAGTGCTATTCTCATGATGAGTTCCGTGTAGATGTTAAACAGAAGTGGCGATAAGATACAGCCTTGACGGACCCCGGCACTTGGATGAAATTCACTCGATAATACGTCGTCTGTTCTTACCGATGCTGTTCCCTCTTCATACAGTCTTTTAAGGAGGTGGACAAGGTGTTTGGGTGTTCCCATAGCCAGGAGAGTTTCCCAAAGTACTGGCCATTTTACCGAATCGAACGCCTTCGAAAAATCAACAAAGCAAATATAGGTCGGCTTGTTAAATTCCCTAGCCTTTTCAATAATCTGGCGCACGCTCAAGATCTGCTCACGGGTACCCTTCCCCCTCACAAAACCAGCCAATATTTTTTACGCATTGCAAGATATTATAACTTTTCCAAAAATCTCTCAGCTACATGCCATCATTTTCATTAGCCTTTACAGCCTGCGAAAAAGTTCTCCTGAGATAATAGGCCTTAAAAGACGCTATAACTCCTTGATCCATCGGCTGTAACAACGAAGTGGTGTTTGGAGGCAGGAACAATACTTTGATTTGAAGATCGATATCGGCAATACGCACAGGATGGCCGGGAGCATTGTCCAAAATAAGTAAAGCTTTATAAGCCAAATTATTGTTTAAACAGTACTGTTTCACTTCAGGTATAAAATGCTTAGTAAACCATTCTTCAAAAAGTATTGATCCATGCCTTTGGATTAGCCTTCCATATAACTGGAAGAGTACTCTTGACGTAATTTTTAAGAGCTCGAGGATTTTCAGACCTATAAACCAAAAGGGGTTTCAATTTAAGATCACCTTAAACATTCGATATCGATATCGATTCAAAAACAAAGTCAAACGATCTTTCGCTGATCTGTCGCTGAGTTTGATCGTGAATCCAAGTGTACAAGAGTTTTCCATTTCATAAATTAAAGCATTCCTTTTTCGTTTCGTTAATAGTTTTTCTTTATCTTTCAATATTGTTTGTACCGTCGTGCGTGATAAATTAAGTTCTCGTCCAATAGATGAAGTCGAACAACCGCGATCTTTGAGTTTTAAAATCTTAGATTTAACCTCCATTGTAATTGTCTTTCTTACTCTCTTCTTCACTTTACTATTAATGTCCTGTTTAGGTGGCATAGTTTAAAATTCACTTAAATATGTATGTAAAAACAAAAACTGACAAAGATGCAAAAAAAACTAATGTATTACATACAAACCAACTTGAACTTGAACTGAAAGAGGACGGCACCGTCGTCGATTCAGTGTTGCTAATTAATATAAGGTGTCCAAAATTGAGTAAGTTTTCAAGAAAGAAATTTCACATTAGACATAATCGTTTAATAAGAATTAAAAAATAAACAAATAAAAAATAATGATACCTCTATAAAAATAATAAAATAAATAAAAAGAATTTGATAATGTACAGTTGCGTACCGCTAACAGTTTAGTCTGTCAGCAATAAACAATGGCTAAGTAATCCAATGATGTGGAAATTCAGTAGATAAAATGTTCCACGGGGGAGATACAACTTTCATTTAATGCGAAGTTCAGTAGGTACCTACCCTGCAAGAGGTACCTGGATGTCTAGCATTTAGTTATGACCGTAACTAACCCCTAACACCAGATTTGACTAATTATAATTAGCAGTGGTACCTAGTGGTAGTGTAGTGTAAAAAAAAAACAAATTGCTTTAAAATAATTTATTGAAAACCAGGTTTACAGTAATTGTGACCTTTAAATGAACCTGCATACACAACTTCATCCTGGTTGTGGGGCCATACTCCGCTTATTTCCGTACCACTATCATCATTATCACTATCGCTTTCGGTTTCAGTGTCACTTACAACTTCTATAATAAAAGGTTTATCTAAATACAATCATGTTTTAAGTATTCTCCTTCTAACCTGCGAACGTGTTTACAATGCTGTGCCCACTCATGAACTGTAATAGCGTCAAAAGCTTCTCTAACTAGGCAGGGAATTTCAGCATTTTTGTGCTCAATATTTACATCAGCAACTTTTTTTTTCATTGTGCTCCATATGAGTTCAATGGGATTGAGATCACAGTGATAAGGTGGTAAATATAAGCATTTATGTCTATTGTCTTCTAAATTTTTTTCAATCTCATATACAGGTTCAGGCTTGTTTCTCTTAATTATTTATTATTTCTAAAAGCTGAGGTTTAGTCAAATTCTCTCCGTAGTCAATTTTATTTTGGGTCAACCATAATTGCATATCTTTTTTTAAAGAATTCGTATTTGGGACTTTATTCACACAAATACGGTGATAATGAGCATTATCCATCACTATTATGGATGGCTCTCGTAAATTAGGCACAAGTTTTTCAATAACCCACTTTTTAAAGTTGGTACTATTCATCTCGTCATGATAATCACCACTTTTTGTGTTTGATTTAAACACAAGTAGTGCATTTGTAACAAATCCAGTATCTCCTCCCGAATGAACAATAATATATCTTTGCCCTTTCGATACAGGCTCCAATACTCCGTCTTCACCGTCTCCTTGCCAACACTTACCCGATGTATGCGAAGAGTGAATATAGGTCTCATCTAAATAAATTATGGGAGATTTATTATTTTTATCCACTGCATGCAAGTACTTAGCTCTCCAAGCTGATATTTCATTACGCTCCATAAGAACCTTTCGATTGGATTGAGATTTTTTAAATCGAAATCCCAACTTGTGAAGCAGCTTTCTCCGCAGCAGACTCTTTCGCTGTCCTGTGTTATTTATTTCTGTCTTTAAGACCTCTAGAAGCTTTTTAACAGTAGGGACCTCTTTTTTGGCAGAATAAAATTCATGTACTTTCTTCCGTATAACTCCCATGTTAAAATCATCAACTTGCACAAATCTACTTTTACGTTTTCTCTCCTTGCCTGGTGTCCGAATTTTTGTACCAGTTTCTTCTGCTGCATGCTCTTCCTTAACTATTTTTGAAACTAGTCCTTGACTCACACCTGAAATATAAGATAACAAAATAAATGTTAGTAGAAATTTGAAATCTGGCAGGTTAGTTGGCTCACTCACTTAGTGGGTTACCTAATAGATGTACGTTACCGTTACGCTAACCCGCAGCAAAAATAGGAACGAATATTTCGTGGACTTAAATAATTAGTTAAGTATAGGGTAATTTATAACAAGAAAGTTGACAACACTAACCTGTCACTGCCGAAATTCGTTTGTATATTTGATTAAATGGAATAATCGGAGACCCCGCCCGAGCTTCTTCTTCAAAAAAGGTGTTAACCTTTAGAATAATGTTTCGAGCATCACTTTTAATAGCTTTCGGCATATTTCACTTTATAAATTCAGCAATATCACGACAAAACAACCAGAGAACCCGAATGTAGTAGACACTGACAATCGAATGACATTTCAACATGACGGCCGTAGTTCCAATTTCACAGTGAAGTTGGTAGGACTATACGTCTTGATTGTCCGTTGTTCCTGAAGTAACTAAACAAAACATGTGCGGGGTAATCCCCGTACGCCTACACCGCGCCCTGCCGGTCCCACGTTTATTGACATCGCGACAAGTGAATTCTCCTATGCCGGAAATCGAAACAAATAACGTATGCTTGAGGATGTCAAAACATTGTTCGACGTAACTTGAAATGACGTAAATAGAAACGACGTAAGTCGAGGACTACCTGTACTATTAATTAAACTCTTTAAGTCGCTGTTTCTTCTGTCCCTTAATTTTAATTTTGACTGATATAAAGGCTTCTACTGGAAATTTTAAAGATTAGTGCTAGTATGTGTTCGCGACGAACGATTATTATGGAATTGTATTTCTTTGAAATCTATATCTAAATAGGAAGTTTTATAATAAATGCCAACATGGTTGGAATCTTGATGTTTTTCAAATTTAAATATTTTAATGTCAGTCATTTGAACTGTTTCTCCTTCAGTATTTTTCGACCATCCATCGAAATTGACCATCCATGCCCTTTGTGATATTTTTAATATCAGCACATTTTGGTAACATTGTAGGGATTGCCTTTCTTTCGGGCAGTTCTGATTATGGTCACGTATTGATCTGATGTGTACACAGGACCAGAATGTTAACACTTTTTGACGGCTTTTTCTATTAAAGAATGAACAGAATCATTTTCATTTTGTGTATGGCCACTAATTAAATAATTGTGCGTAATAGACTTTATTTTAAGAACAGATATGGCATATACATACATAGAGAACATAAACTTGTTCTTTTGCTGAACACAGCAAATATTAAAATAAAATGTGATTTGTTAATTATTATCATTTATTTCTGACGCCCTCTTTGTTAAATAACTCCAGACACACGTTGCTATTTCGTTAGCTCCTCGACCTCGTTCCAAACAAAACAATCACATTAGTCTTTTGCCAATTCACTTACAGTCAAATTCCAAACATTCAGCTTGCATTTGTAATATAAAGGAGATATATCTCTTTTCGGAAGAGGCAACACTGCCTGGAGGTCGTAACAGGCAACAATGTAATTTGCCTGAACCATTGTTTTGTCGTTTGACTTTTCCCGGCGACATAATTCTTTTTCAAGCTGGTGTGTGGTGGTCGTATCTGGTCTGTAATTCTATTATTTTATTAACAGCATTTTTAAAGCTAATGCATAGTTCACACTGGTCTTTTTTAGGTGTGTGAAAGCCGATGTTGTAAACTTCATTAAATACTTTTCTATAGGTAAGAATTTTAGCAGCTTCAACAACATCATTAAAGCATTTCGTTATGTAGTCGACATAGTTCTGAGAGAGAAGAGAAGAAAAACTTGAAACAAACCCGTTTGGCCAGCGTGGTATAATAAGTCAAAACCTTCTTTCTTTGTCCAGAAGTGGACTGTTAAAGGCTGTTGATAATAAAGATCTGTAATGTTTTTACCCACATCAAAAGTATTGCAGTATGATGCTAGTAGTCCGAGAGCACATCTGGAGCTGACGCTGGATGTCTCAGCATGCGAACCGTCAATGGTGTGGAGTTGAGCAGGCGGGCTTCCACCGACAAAAATGCCACAGCCGAAACATTTGACGATGGTACCAATACATAACAATAGGACAAATACGCCTATAGAACCATATAGCTCAAGCACAATATCATACACACCATTTAGATCATCATCACCATCCATACCATCGTCACCCACCAGTCACATTTTAAATACAGTTCCACCTAATCTGACCTTGAATGTGGCGCGGGAGGTGAATACCTTTTTACCTGCGTCCACCAAGGCTGGAAAAACTAGAGTTCGCATGAAATGGGCCAATGACGTAAACATATTTATCAAGCGGAGCTACCTTCACATTACTAAGTTAGAAACTGATATGACTACCTACAGACATAATTCATGCAGTTAGATGACACCACACCAACATAATGTACACATGTGGTGTATGTATTTACTTGGTTTAGGCCCGTAAATATGGTCGAACCAGCTAAAAAGCTGAGAAAAAAAAAAAATAATAATAATAATAATCGTTCTAGTCAGAGCAAGTTTAAAAAAAAAATTAAGCATAATAAGGAATATAAAATTAGATTAAAATTTCAAAAAAAACACTTTTTATTTAAATTTTCCTGATTACTAAATGTGAATTCAGAAAATGTGAAAACCTCCTTTCTAAGGAGAGGCCTATGTCCAGCAGTGGGCCAGTAAAGCCTTGTTGATGAAATGTGAATTATAAATAATTTATTTTAAGTTTTTCAAGTTGTTTCAGCCTATAGTGACATCACAAAAAAAAAGAGGCATCTTCAAAATCATCATCAGCATCGTCGCTGTCTTTGTTAGTGTCATTCATATCATCTTCTTGGGAACTTTCGTTATCTTCTAAAACTCTGTCATCTGCAATAGAAAAAAAAAATAAACAGTGTAATTCTTCTTGTTCATTATAATGACATTTTAGTTATTATTGATAAATGTTCTATTTCATACTTACTTTGAACAATAATATCTGCAACTGAATATGGTAATTGATCTCCCAAAAACCAGACAAATCATATTTGTCACCGTTGATGGTCCAACTGAAAGCCATTGGAGATAAAGATGTTGGATGTTTTAAGTGAGCTTTTCTCCAAATTTTCGTCACGTAACGAACCCTCAATAAATGCTGTTGCAATTCCGCTTTA